TTTTGATTGATTTAATGAATCCTTGGGTGAACAAATGTAATAATTTCTTTCACAGAAAAACGAAATAACTTGACTACTGACTGGCCTCAAAGTTTTGAATGGTAGTGTATCTAATGCCATTTTATATTTAACCGTGTATTCCATCATTTACAGTTTCGTTTATTTTGCAAAATCAGTTTAGTTCATGAGCTGAAATTATTATGCTGATGCACGCAAAGCTGTTTCCTTGTTTTTCAGGGCAGGAAACAGGATGTACACGTACAGGATAAAGCAACATCTCTTGCCATTAGTGATAAAGTCACAGCAACTCTGCAGTGCTAATTTAAGGATGTCTTTTCAGCATATATCCCTTTGTGCTTTGGATAAAAAGCTGAGATAGTCAGGTTACAGTGGTAATGTCATTGCCTAGGACAAGCTAGTTCATTAAAGGCCCGACGTATGTGTGTGTTTGCATGTTTATATGTTCATGCACACCTGGTGACTAATGACCAACGTCTTCCGCATGTTTTATGAGTGTCTCTTTTAGGTTATAAGCATACGTCACGATAGGCATAGAAGGCAAAAGTTTATTTTTGTCTCCCTACCTTCTGTCTCTTGTGAATGTTGCATAAACATTCTCTCCCATTCTCTCTTTCATATGCATTATCTATCATTCCTTCTCTCTCTCTCGTTCTTTCTCTATAGTACTCCCTTGTGGCCTTGTTGCAAGAATGCCTGTATTGGGAGTTGCTAAAATGAGACAAAAGTTTCCTGTTGTAGGCATTATTTCCACACTCTGTATGATGTAGGAAGAATATGATGTTTTCTCTCGTTCTCCTCCCCTTAGTAATATCTGCTTTTATTTCATCCTTAAACAAATGTTGAGACAAGAAAAAAAAAATCTAGTTGATTCTCTAGGAAATGTTGTAAATCTGAGTGTATGAATGATTGTAAATCGCTCCTCGGGAGTCTAAACACAATCCACATACACATAGGGTAGAGCTGCTCCCTTTTTTGCTGATCATTGGAGAATGAGAGGAATTGAAAATGCAGCAAGTGCACAACAGAGAGCTAACATATCCACTACAGTCTGCACGTTGCAATTTTTCTCATGCCTCAGAAAACTTATTGAACCAAAGGACATATAAAATTATTTGTTTTATATATAATTTTATATAATGAACGAGTTCTATTATCAAATAAATGTTGTCCTTTTGAACATATATATTTATCAGTTAATCCTGGGGGAAATAAATAAATAAATTAATTAAACAAAACAACAACAACAATAAATAAATAAATAAATATCCCAGATTCCACAAAAAATATTATGCAGCACAGTTTTAGATTATGATAATAATGATAATTTCCTGAGCCCTAAATGATTTATTTGAACAGTTCATTTTAAATTATAATATTATTTCATAATATTACTGTTTTTTTACTGAATTTTTAATACAATTTGATCTGATTTGAGCAGCCTGGTCTGATCTGACTGCACAATGTGCATTTTTTTATTTCTAAACTTCACACTTATTTACACTATTCATTAATGTTATTTATATTACAATATATAAAAAATGCTTTATCAAATCTGTATCCATTATTCAATGGAATTTGTTATTCCGCTTCATGCAGATCCCTGCTATTAGTATTGTATCATGAGAAAAAAATATATTAATTATATAATTGTATATTGTGAGGACTTATGCAATTTGAGATTGTTAAACCTGTGCTTAAACCTGTGTGGAGTGGGGTATATGAGTGGTTATGAACGAATGAATGAAACGCATTTGTCATTGTTTCACTCCGTCTCGAATCACGCTCGCAGAAAGCGCTTGAGAAACAGTGTCTCTTCCGACGGCTCGGTACGCTTTCAACTCGTTTTTTTTAGTCTAGAGCCAGACTGTACGACATTCACATTACGTGATTTGACTGCTTTTTACATAGAAAGGGCGATAGCGCACTGCATTATAAGAAATTATCATTCATGTTTTCATAACCGCTGGTCAAATAAAATTTAATCATCTTTGATAGTGAGGGGGCCCCCTGTTGTTTCGGGGGCCCTACGCAGCTTGCGTATTTTGCGTATAGGGAAGATTGGCTCTGGGTACGAGAACAGAAAAGTAGCTTGATGTCATACAGACGTTGAAACAGGGCAATTCAAGAGTCACACCTTTAGTGAATAGAAGTCATCCATCCCAAACACTGAATGTATCTGCAATCATAGAGCAAGGGATTCACAAGTATTGGCCAGTGTAATATTTTATTCAGGGGGGTTGGGAGTGTGCTGGAATGGCCCATGT